TTTCAGCGGATTAATAACGTATAGGAAAGACATTCTGTTTGCAAATTCATATAAAATCACGTTGCGATATTTATGAAAAATCAGAGGATAAAAGTTTTTTCTGCTCCAAAGGCACTTTTAAATCCAAACAACAACAAAAATTCAACAGGTAAACTGCAAAGAGTAGCTGCAAACTTTAAAAAAAAATTATCTCTGCGAGATAACAGAGTGAGGTCTTATCTGTCCCTATCAGCCTGGTGAGGACAGAGAAGTTTTACAGCCACAATAATTTGCAAATAATGCTAACTGTTTATTTTGCAAATTTGCCCACATTATGATGTCATCAGTTCTGAGGGTTCTTTTTTTGCCCCCTCCTGGTTCTAAGTGTTTGCTTCTGAGTTTCTGGATTCTGGACTGAGATTGAGGCAGAGCCCGCCTGCAGCCTCGGCCCCGGGGAGGGAAGGCTGGGCTGGGGCTGTGCCCTGCAGCCCCCCACCCCCGCCCCAGCCTGCTCCTTAATAGACCTGCCCCGGTGAGCCTTGTTTCTTTAAGGCCGCCCACCTGTGGGCACGGATGTTGGGGGCTAGCGGGAAGCAGGACAAGTTGATGAAATTGCCCAGGACTGCTGGGGAGCCCCGCTCGGGCTTTTAGCCACCTCACGCTGTGGGGCTGGGGTCTGCTCCCGCAGATGGACCCCCGCCCAGCACTGGGCCTGCACCTGAGGCGGCCTGGACCGGGCCGGGCCTGGGGTCCTCAGTCCCAGTGTAGCAGCGAGGGGACGCCCCTGGGTGCTGAGCGCCCCCCAGGCACGTCCACACTGGTGCTCGCAGAGCGGGGAAGCGTGGAGCCGGGAACCCCAGCGGGGTCCACACGGAGTCGTCGTTATTTTCCGACTGTGCTGATCACAGCTGAGTAATTTTGCCCCCCTGAGCCTCAGTTTCCCCTTTTGTACACTGGGCGCGGTGAGTGTCCCCACCTCATGGCAGCTGCACCTGTAAACTGTAAAGCCCTGGACGGTGCCCGTGCCCGGAGACCGCCCCGCAAATGCCATCAGCCCCCTGGGTGGGCCAAGACCCCATCCCGTGGGGTCTCGGGGTACAGCCTGCGGGGAGGGTCAGGAGCGTCCGTTCAGACCCGTGTCCCCATGGTGAGTGGTGGCATGTGGGCCCCGCAGTGGCCACGTGTGTGTGCATGCGTGTGCTGGTGGCGTGAGCACGTAACACGCCTGCATCCACACTGTCCAGTCTCTGCCGCCTGTCGTCGTGGTTCCAGAGGTGGCTGGTGTCCACCTGCCTCCTCACTCCTCCGGGTAGGGACCCTCGGGCCACCCCCCGGACGCCCCGGCCCAGCGCTCTGCTGCCCTGGGGTGGGAGGTCACTGTCCTGGGCGCAGGCCGGCCCCGCGGCGGTAGGTGGATGGCTGCCCAGGCCCTGGGCTCCCGTAGGTGAAAGAACGCCCCTGGGCCGGGCCGGCCCCACTCTGGGCCCTGGCCAGGCGCTCTCTGCCTCCGCGGGGACAGGAGCTCTGGGCGCCGGCCATTTGCAGGCTGGGAGGAGTGGAAGAGCCTCCGGGCCCCAGAGGAAATGGCGGCGCAGGCAGGCCCAGAACAGGACCGGGAAGGCGGGCCAAGGGAGGAGGCCGGAAGGCCCTGGGGTGGGCTGGTCACATGCTGGCGGCCCTCTTCCAAGAAGTGGCTACCAGCGCTGGCCCTCCCGGCAGGCTGTGCATGCACATGTGCGAGCACGTGTGTTTGAGCTGCGTGCACATGTGCTTGCGGGCACGCGCGTGTGAGTCCGTGTGCACACGCGGGCTGGGCCCCGGGGCCTAGCAGGTCCTGTTTCCCCATCAGGGACGGGGTCTTGGGGCATGAAGAGACCCCGAACCCTCTGGGAAGGGGCCGTGCGAGTGTCGCCTGCGGTTGGCTTGTTTCCCTCTGGCCTTCCAGGAAAAGACCAGAGCCCCGGGCTCTCAGGTGAGCTACCTGCCCCCCTGGCCTCGGTCTCCCCACTGGAGGGGGCGGGGGCCCATCCACCCCCAGGCTCCCGTGGAGTGAAGTGTGATGGCATTGCCTGCGTGCGGGGCTGGCCCGCGGGGACCCAGCTGCTGGGGCCTGGGAGAGGGTCCCTGGTCTGGTCCTGAGTCTGAGCTGGGCCTGCAAACCCCAGGCGGGAGCAGCTGGTGGGGCCGGGAGGGGACCTGTGCCAGGGAACCTCTGGCCCAGTTTCCTGGGAGCCCAGCCCTGCCCCAGGATTCCTGCGGTGGGTGTGCCCGCACTTCCGCCCAGGCGTGGGTGGAGGGATCCTGGGGGCAGGCGGGGCGTTCCCGCCATTGCCCGCCAGTCCCACCGCCAGAGCCTCCCGGCGCCCCGCTGCTTCAGCAGGATGGACAGGGCGAGGAGCCTGGCCTGGCCCGGTGCTCCAGGCCTGCCCACCGCGGGCAGCAGAGGCTTCCGCGCCTAGAGACGGCGCCTCCGCTGGCATCTCTGTTGTGAATGCACAAAGAGTAAGTCACAAGCCAGGCCCTGGGCCCGGGCCCCTGCGGGTGGGCCTTGGGTCTCACACCACCCACCCCCCGCCCCCGGCTGCTGGACACCAGCGTGATGGACTCGCCCGCCAAGGCCTAGCTGCTGGGCTGGCTGGCCCTTGGACCGTGCCGGCAGGCAAGGAAGTAGCCATTGCGGGGCACTCCTGGGCCGGGCGTGTGGCCAGGCACCGCGGCAGGTACCGGGAGGGCAGGTGTGGCTGCCACAGTCAGTGTCCAGTCGCCAGGACTGGACAGCACCCCCTGCCGTGGCCTAGGGGAGGCAGGCGGGCCCTGGGCTCCCAAGGGCAGTGGGTGCCAGCTGGATGCGGCGTGCGGCTCTGCAGCGTGGGGACTAGCCTCCATGACCTACTCCGCGCCAGGCCCGGCGCTGGGTACTTTCATCCATTTTGCAAACATCACAGCTCGGTGTAACCTGCCCAGTCGGTTTCACATCACCACCCAGCCAGAGGCGCCCGGCCAGCGCGGCTTCAGCGCCGGAAAATGGAGGAGACGGGAGGACTTGGTCCTGCCCAGGGGACGGTGGCGCTAACAGTTCCCCTAAGAGGGACTGAGAGGCTCAGAGAGACGGGGCACCCCCAGAGTCGTACAGCTCGTGGGCGCAGAGCCTGCATGCAGATCTGGGTCCCCTCCTGCCCAGTGGGCACAGGCCTGTGCAGGGCCCATGTGTGTTCAGTCTCCCATGGGTGCCAGCCTCCCCAGGTCCCCAGGCGCCCAGTGCAGAAGGACCCGCCGTGGACTGGAGTTCTGCTCCAGGGGGGAGTCAGGATTTGCCCCCCTCCTTGGGGGCCATGTTCTCACTGGACGTAGGCATCCCCAGGATCCCAGGCCTTCGGGCTGGATTGGCAAAGCCCCCGTGTGCCCTGCTGGGCAGGAGCGCCAGGCCTTTGTGACTCGAGGGCCGCGGCCCATCTGGACAGCGCCCGGGCTTCCCGTAGGAGGGGGTGCGCGTGGGCCTCCCGCTTGCTCCCGTCCAGATGCCGGGTATCAAGCTGTGAAAACCAGAAGCCGCAACTTCTAGCATTCCCGAGATGGGCTGCCGCGTGCCCAGTGCAGACCCTCCCCCGTGCCGGGAGCCTGCGGTGTCCGTCAGCAGCCCCGGGTTCTGGTGTCGACTGCTCACTGGGTGCCGACACTCTGGGGAACACACCCCTCTGCCCCGGGCCTGTGATCTGCAGGGGTCGGGGTCGTCGGCCCCCACTGGGTCTGCTTGGCAGCTGGGTGAGGGGAGGGCCTGGGCACCGGGAGGCACGTCTGGGCAGGACAGGTACCATGAAGCCAGCTCTGAAGTGGCCAGGACTGTCAGGTCCATGGGGTCCCTGTGGCCTGGCCCCCTGTCGTCTCAGAGTTGCCCAGTCCTTGCCCGATGCCAGGGCACCACGCAGAGCGGCAGGGAGCGGGCCTGGACACCCGGGCTGGGAGCCGAGGGGGCCCGCATCACCGTCCGGATGGGACCGCAGCCCTATGGGTGGTGGGTCCACGCCGGGGCTCCGCAGGGGCCTCCCTGGGACGGGGGCTTCATGTCACCAGCAACAGGCCTCCCGGAGGCCCACCCGGGTGCGGTGGGCTGTGCCCAACCCAGTGGGGACCTCCTGGGGACAGAGGTCCGGGGGCCTCCTGGGGCCGGTGGCCCGCAGCTCCCGCTTGCCCCACGCCAGCTGCTGCCACGTCCCGGGGCTCCGCTGCCAGGCACAGCCCGCCCCTCCAGCGCCCCACGCAGCCCCGCACCAGCCACATCTGCTGCCGCAGCCCTGCCAGAGCTCCGCCTCCGGGCTCCATCCCCATGGAAACCGCGGGAGGGGGCCTCCCACTGCCTGTGGGCCCTGACTGTTTCCATTCGCAGCCTGCTTTCCCAGCCCTGCCCCGGAGTTCAAGGCCGCCCCAGGGGTTCCTCTCCACATGCTCTGAGCACTGGCCTCCGTGCCAAGGGACCCGGGGGCCTGCCCATGGGCAGAGCGAGTGGCCACGCCCAGGGCCGCAGCTCCTAGTCCTCACGGCCCTGGCTCAGACCCCACCTTCCTCACCCGGGACCAGCAGCTGCAAGGACAGCCCTGGCCAGGCCCGGGGCCTCCTGTGCCCGCATCCTGGCTGGGCCGTGGAGTCCTGGGGACCTTGAGTGAGTCCCTTTCACTCTGGGCCTCAGTTTACCCAGCTGTACAAGGAGCGGGTCCAACCGTCCCTCCAGCTCCTGGCAGCGCTGAAAGCCGAGGCCAGCTCCCCTGCCCCGTCTGGCTGGTGGTTTCCGCGGGAGCCAAGGGTCTGGCGAGATCGTGGTCACGGGCCCGGCCAGCTGAGGGCCGCTTGGGCCCATGCGCGGGGGGGAGGCCGGCCCCTTTGGGCGGCTGAACCTGGGCAGCTCCGCCTGGCATCATGCGGTGCCAGCGACCTGGCCATGGGCACTGAGGTCGTGGGTGTGAAGGGTGCCCAGGACGAGCCTGCAGGCCTGGACAGCCGCTCGGAGGCCGTAGTATGGGCAGAGGATGAGACGCCAGGCCTCGAAGCCCCCTACCCCGCGCCCTCCGGGAGACGCCCCAGACCCAGCCAGACCCGGGGCGTCTTCCCTGCAGCTCCTGGGAGTCTGGGACGAGCTTCGCGGCTGTGGGGGGCTTCCCGCCGTGCGGATGGGGGTTCTCAGCTCCTGTTGGTGTGAAGTGCGGAGCCCCTGGGGCGGACTCCGCTGGGGGACTTTCCTGGTGGCCACAGTGGGCTGGGCGGGTTGCTCTCCCCCCCAGGCCTCAGCGCCTCATCTGTACACTGTGGAGAAAAGTGTGGGGATGAGGCAGGGGTGGCTCCGAACCGCACCCTCCGGGGGCCTCCTGGGGATGGGGCTGGCACTCACCTGGCCTGGCCCCGGGGCAGTGGGCAGGCCTGACCTCTCCCGAGGTCACTGGGAATTGCAGGGGCAGGCCCTGGGTGGCCGGCCTCTCCTAGGCGGGGCTCCCGGTCCAGTCTACCCCGCTCCCCACCTTGGGCCTGGCCTCCCCGCCCGAGGCCACGAGATTCGCCAGGAGACCCTGGGGGTCGTCGCAGACCACCAAGGAGGGGGCGGCACACGTGCGGCGTCTGCCCTGGACAGGACGGAACTTCAGTCTGGCCCATCGCAACCCCGCAGCCGCCACCCTCCGCGCCGCGCAGGCCCCAGCGTGCCGGGGCGGGGGCTGCAGCGCAGGCCAGGCTGGCTCAGACGGGCGATGTGGGAAACGAAGCCGAGTCCCCAGGGGAGGGGAGAGAAGAGAGGGGAGCTTAAGTGCCCAGATCGTCATGAAGCCTGCGCGGTGATTTATGGGGGCCGGCGGGCTCTCTGGCCAGCCCCACCCCCTCCGCCCAGTCCCCCGCGCCCCGGAGACACACGGGGGGCGGGCAGGGAGGCCAGCAGGCGCCACCCAGCACCCAAGCTCTGCTTTGTCTCCTGGGAACAGAGCCCCTCTGTGTGCCGGGCCCTGCCGGCTCGGATCTGGGGCGACCTCGTGGAACCCCTGCGTGCTCCAGCTGGGAAGTGCCAGCCCCGGAGGCCGAGCCCCTCTCGCAGCCTGAATGGCAGAGTCTCCCCCGACTGGCCGGGCTGCCGGGCCGGGGGTGGCGGGGCCAGGGGCAGCCTGGGCCGTGGGCAGGAGCAGGGAGGCGCATCTTTCTGGCGGGGCACGGTGTTCCATAGCCAGACAGGGTGCGGCATTTCAGGGGGGCTGGCCCAGGTGCCACTAAGGGCCGCGCTGGGACTCTCCTCTGCCGTGACCACACCCGGCTCCTCCCTCCTGTCATTCCCAGGTGGCCCTGCCCCCCATCTCTGGAGTCATCCTGACTCCTCTCCCTGCCACACCCAGACCAGTCTCCAGCCCTGCGGTTCTGCCGCCTCTTGGCATGTCCCCTCACCCGGCTGGATGGTGCCCGAGCCCTGCCCAGCTCGCCCCCACCCACCCCTGCGGGGCTCCGTCCAGCCCCCAGCAGGAGTCCAGTCTGCCACGGGCCTCGCCCAGCCCTGCCTCCTCCTGGAAGCCCTCCCTGCTCTCCACCTGCGCACTGCCCTGAGGCCCATGGCCTGAGCCAGATGGGGGGTTCAGCATGTCCGCCCGGGCCCCACAGGGCCCTCCGCCGGCGCCGGCCTGTCGGGGCCCCCTCTGGGAGCAGCCCTCGAGGAGGGACGGCCCAGAACCCGGGACTGGAGCGGAGGAGGAGAAGCGCCACTCCATGCTCAGGGCCGCCGCGCCTCGCCCTCGAGTCCAGGAGCTGCGAGAAGCAGGCAGATACGCCACTTTCCACCCGCGCAGTGGGCTCCCCGCAGGACTGCCGGACAGCGGGGGACGGTGCCGTGGGGCCAGGGACGCAGGAGCCCCGAGGCCTCGGGACAGCGCCTCCCCAGGCGGGTGCCCCCAGGCGGTGCTGTGGAAGGCCAGCCCCGAGGGGTGCAGGCCAAGCCGTGGCCCTCCCCGTCCTGGGTCAGCCTGCGGGAGGGTCGCCGTCACAGGCAGAGAGGCGCGGCGGCTACTCAGGGCAGATGTTCCGGCTCACACATCCCTGTGTGGGCCTGTTGCCTTATCATGGCTGCGGGGGTCCTCAGTGCCTCCTCCCGGCAGTGGCCAGCTTCTGCCAGGGCTCCCCTGGGCCAACCCAGTGTGCTCTGTGGGCCCTACACACCCTTGTCTCCCCCCTTGGCCTTCATGGGTCTGTGGTGGCCAGCGGTCAGGGCCCAGCGGCCCGCCAGGGCCCTGGTGGCGGTGCTCAGCCAGCAGCCAAGTCTGGCAGCTCCCCTAAGACCCTCTAAACAGCGCCTGGGAAGGTCACCCCAGCCTGTTTCCCCATGATCTCTGATCACTTGGTGGCTCTTGGGGAGGTCAGAGGCCTGCCTCAGGCATGGGAAAGCTCCCCTGGGCTTTGGCCTGGACCCCACTTTGGGGGAACGTTGGGAAAGATGAATGCATAATGACAGAGGCCCTCAGTGCCTGTCCGCATGAGAAACGGGGTTGGACGCACCCCCGGGGCTGGCGCCTGGGCGCAGGGCCTGTGGGCACGTCTCCCGGTGAAGTGGGGCGTCCACTGAGAACGACTCCAAGGTGGTTTGCGCTGGGGTGTGTAGGAGGTGGGGTTCCCTGGTGGCCACTGACCCCTTTTGCAGCTTCCAGGGATCTTGTTCCACGAGCTTGTACTCCATTCCCAGTGGGGAAAGTCATTTAGATGACAGAAGTGACCCCATGGGGTAAATTGATCCCCAAAACCACCGCTGCGTGTTCCCCCAAAAGAGACCGTCATACAACGCACTGTCCTGGGGGGCAGCACCGACCTCTTGGCACTTCCAGGCGTGAGGGCGGCGCCCTGCCGTGGGGTAAGTCCTCCGCGAGCCTCTGCCCGCTCTCGGGCTGCATCCGGCGTCCGCGAGCAGGAACCGGCCTGGCACCCTGCGGTGGCAGAGAGCACGGCCTTTGGGTCAGACCCCGGCTCAGCCAGCCTGGGTGGGTGCGGGACGGACACGTGTCTGCCTCCCACCCGGGATGCTGCTCTCAAAGCGTGTTGTCGGCAGTGGCCTTGTGAAGACCTACTGTGTGTGGAGACCCGCTGTGTGTGCCCTCCGGCCCTGATGATGCTCTCCCGCGTCGTGGCCTTCTCCGGCTCCGGTGTCAGCGGAGTGGCGGGTGTGACTGGCGCTTTTGCAAAATCTGAAACGGCGCAGAGGCCAGGCCCCTGAAGGCTGCACAGCGGAAGGTTCTGTGTGTCCCGTTGGGCTCAGGAGCCCACGCCCCTCCTGGCGCTAGCAGCTCTGGCACCAGCTGCCTCGTCCCGCTTCCTGGCCACACCATCACCAGGAAGCTGTCGGACCCTGGGCCCTGCAGACCGAGGTGAGACCACGGGAGGGACTTCACATCCCTGGTCTGCCAAACACATCATGTGTCTGCCAAACAGGCTGGAGGGGGTGGCCGCCACAAGCTCGCCCATCCCTGGGGTCCTGGGCAGGTGACCCCAGGGGTCCCGCATCTCGTCCAGAAGTGCTCCGGCGGCTCACCAGCGCCTGGCCGCTTCCCTGCACCCGACCTGACAGGGCCGAGCCTGGCTGGACACCACTGCTGGGCTCGCGTGCCGTGGGTCTGGACCCTGCGGATCAAGTGGGCGTGGTCTCCTGCCCGGCGCTCCCGCCCAGCAGCCAGCCCTCAGGTGGGTCCCGTCGGCCCCCTGCACTGGCCCCTCGGGGTCTCCCCAGGCCATCCCTGCCTGGGGAGTGCTCACTGGAGGACGAGGCCCAGGGCGGCTTCCGCAGGCAGCAGCTGTTTGGGGACACGTGGCCCCAGCAGCCTGCGCGGGGCTTTCTGGAGCGGGTCGCAGGGAGCCGACCGCGGCCTGCGTTTCCCGTCCCCGTCAGGGAGGCGGGGACTGCCCCGAGGGGCACCGCGGGGTTCAGGAGTCGGGGGCTGTTCTGAGGATAACTCAGGCGATAGCTGCTTTGTCGTTCTGAGTTAATCCCACCTTCTCCCAGTCAGCCGTGTGGCTTCCACTTCCAGACGGCGCGTCTTTCCCGCTGGCCTGTTTGCTGGGCCTGGTCCCTGCCGCTCCTTTCTGTGAGGTCATCCATCTGTGGCTTTTCCTCCGATGCTCCCGGGCCAGGCCCCCATGGCCCTCCCGTGGCTGCCGGCGTCGGGGTCACGGCCGGCCTTGCCTGTAACTGGGGCCGAGGCCGGGAGACGTGAGTGGCTTGTCCAGGCGCACAGGTCAGAGCTGAGACAGGAACCAGCGGCCCCGCAGCTGGGTTCAGGAATGTTCTGGAATCCAGGGTCAGGGAGGCCCCTCCCTCCAGGCATCCTGCTGGGCCCAGTGCTGGTGCCAACAGGTTCAGCCCCAGCCCCGGGGGGCCGGAGCCTCCCAGAGGACAGACTGAGTCTGGAGAAAGCCCGTGAGCTGCGGGGCTCGGGCTGCCAGGGCGCGGCCGTGGGATCGGGTCTGGGGTGGTTCTGGTGCTGGGAGGTGGGGGAGTCGTTAGAGCCCGTTGTCGCCTCCCACATCACAGGGAGGGGCCCAGATCAGAGAGGGCAGCCCTGTGCCTGCAGCCACACAGCACGCAGAGGAGGCTGGTGGACCCCACCCAAACCGGCCTCCTGAGGGATCCTGGAACTTGAGGGGTGCCCCTGAGGAGCCCCAGTGTGTAGTTCACATGTGACTGAGCCGGCAGGGCAGCCCTGGTCACCCCTGCCCCAAAGCACCGCACGGCGACCAGTCGCATGTTGAGGCTGGCCCTGGGAGGCCGGGCATTCCTGGGAGCGGCTCACATGCAGGCAGGACGTAGGGCCGAGCTGGGCCATCCCTGTGTGCCGAGCACCTGCAGGGCCTCCCGCATGGGGCCCCAGTGGTCACTCCCATCCTGGGGGTGGAGGGTTAGTGTGTGCCGGCCACACTGGGGAGCAGTGAGAGCAGCGAGTACGCTGGAGGGAGGTGTCTATCGACGCTGCGTTGAATTCAGAGGGGCGCCCTGGCCCCAGCGGCCCCCCCCCCCCCGCGCTGCCCACCAGCTGTGTCTCGGGCGGAGCCGGGGCCAGGCCATACCTGCTGCTCTGGAGTGCTGTCACCTGTCAGGGTGAAGCCCGCCCGCCCGTGGGTCCAGCGCTGGTTCCCTGGCCGCCGCCTGGGGTCCACTCCCCACTTGTCCCGGAGCTTGGCGCCTGGTGTCTGATGCCAGGTCGGCTAGAATCACCCCAAATCAGTCGTTTGCAAAGCAGGCGCTGGCCCATAGCCACAGGGCAACGCCCCTCCCTCCCCGTCTAGGAGCTCGAGCTGATTGCTGTCCGGAGGGGGCAGGGCACATGTACCGTCCGCTCCCGTGCTGTTCTGGGGCGTCCCAGTCTGATCTTTTCCTGCCCCAGCCCCCCTTCCTGCAGGCTGCCCCACTCATGCTTGGCCTGGGCAGAGCTTCTAGAAAGGAGGGTGTGCTGAATTTCTCACCCCCGTGAGTCTGTCCAGTGACCTCCAAGATTCCCAGCCATGGGCAGGTGGACCAGTCTCGATTTGCTGTTGTCACGACCATGAGCCAGTCCTGCTTGTGGCAGGAGACAAGCCCCTGGTCCACTATTAGACCTGGAGAGCCTCGACCCAGGGGGCCTCCCTGGAGGAGGTGTCCTAAAGGATGGTGGGCATTAGGCCTTTGGTGGCAGAAGAACGTTCCAGCCCCAGGAAACAGTGGGTGCCAAGGGCGGGCTGGCGTGGGGGTTGGGGGCTCTGACAGCGTGACCTCACTGTGCCGGAACCGTTGCCCTTAGCCCCCCGGCTTTTCCTCTGCAGACGCTGGAGGAGGTGGTGGCTGGGCTGCCCAGAGCCAGTGGCATGGGTTTGGCGTGGGTGCACGTCCAGCGGGCACCGGGGCAGGGACGCACCAGCCATTGGGCTCTGCTGGCCACCCACTCCCTCTGTCCAGGTCCCTTGCCTGGGCCCGGGCACCTCGTCTGCAGCCAGGACTGGCCTTCCCGCTGGCCGCTGTCAGGGGCACCGGAGACACGGGACCTGCTGACCTGACTCCTGGGCCCTCTTGTGTCTTGCAGGATATGGCTGGTCCGCAAGCGCCCCAGGAAACTGAGAGCCGCCGTGGCTTTGGGAAGCCCCCAGCACGCACCGTCCAGGTACAGAGGGCTGTGCCCTGGGCCTGAGCAGGGAGGCAGCCCGGGGGGCGGGCGGGAGAGGCATGTGGACCCATCTCTTCGGAGTCCACCCCAATCTGGCCTCGGCTGTTGCATGGGCTTTGGGGGGCCACGGCTGCTTCCTGGGAATCTCGTTTGCCAAAGGAGCACCCCGACCTCCTCTTGCCTCCCTCCCTGGCACTGGCCCCAGCAGGAGTCGGGGAGGGTCTGGCCTGGCACCCCTGCTGGCCACCACTCTGGAAGGTGAAGCCCACACAGCTCTCACCAAGCCTGTGGGCAGGACGGGGCCTGGGGGTGATGGTGTGCTGGTCGGCCTGCGTCCTGCCACGCCAAGCACATGTGTCTGTTACTCACACGCACACGAAGCTTCGAGATACACACACAATGCAGAGGATAAAAATAAACAGCTGAGGACACTGAAGCAGAGAGAAAATCAGAGGAAGGGCCGAAAGAAGCCATGTCATGTAGCCACCGCCAGTTCAGCTCTGAGCTTCCCAGCGGCCAAAGCAAGGAGGGAAAAACCCCCTTGCAGGAGCTGATTTTCAGGAGGACCATCCTCATCAGTGATGCTGAGGAGAGCTGCCCAGAGGCCTCCAAAGCCCTGGGGAGCCAGGGGCAGGCAGGCCGGCCCCTGCTCTGCAGCCCCCTCAGCTACCAAGCGCCTTCCCAGCCTACAAGCCTAGGCCCGGGTTGCGTCTCTCTGGCCCCCAAACCCACATCCCTGCAGCCACATCTGCTGCCCCGGGAGAGCAGGGACCCAGCGGCCAGGTCACAGGGCCGCAGGCTCAGGGGCTCTGTGACCTCCCGGCCTTAGGGTGGGCTGGAGCCCAGGGAGCAGCACTGGACGCCGCCCTCGCCCGCGGGGCCCCCTGTCAGGACTCAGCCGCTCCTCTCCTTCCAGGTCTCCGCCTCCCAGCGCGTCGTCCCAGGGACGCCGGAGCTCTGGTGGGACCATCAGGACCTCAGGTCAGTCCAGCGCTTTGAATGTTGAAGCTGGGGCCACGCCGCTCCTCCCCCACACCCACGGTGACCCCGGTGTGCACACGGCTCTGGGGACAGGCAGGCGCGTCCCCCCGGGGGCTGTCAGCAGGGTCGCGCCTGCCTCCACCTGCCTGCCCCAGCCTTCCGCGGCCCGGGGTGGGCAGCCGTCGGGCGGCAGCTCCCAGCCGAAGCCCACGGGGTCCTGTGCGCCGCCCGCGGAGGCTCCCTCGACAGGGAGTCAGCGCTGGGTCCGTGGGGGGAGGGCTTGGCAGTGGGGGGACATGTAACCGCAGGGCGGTTCCCGGGCTGTGGGGGGCAGCAGAGATGGGGCTCCGTGGGATGGGGGACCATGGTGCTGGGAGCCTGCCCCCCACCACACTCCGGCCTGGCGCCCCCCCGCAGTCCCCCGCTTGCCCTACTCCCCCAGGCAGCAGCTGCCTGCTGGGTCCAGAGGTGCATCCTCGCCAGAAGGTGCCCCGGTCCCGACCCCGCGCCAGGCGGGCGGCCACGGGCGGTCCCAGAGGAGGCCGGGCTGGCCCTCTTGGTGGGGGCGGCAGGGGTGCGGGCACAGCCCCTAAGGCCCAAGACCTGGGATGGGGTCTGGGGCATAGAAGGGGCGACCGGAGGAGAGTGGACCATCCAGGGAAGGACCTGGCTGCCCCACTCGGCGAGAGGGTGGAGGGTGAGGGGCGGCTACGGGCACACGTCCATCCAGGGCCCAGTGGGTCCATCCGGTGCCCGGTGGCACCAGCGTGCCGGCAGCCCACTCACTGTGAACATGGCACCAGTGGAGGAGCCCCCAGCCTGCGGGGAGGTCCCCTGAGGTCCCTGGGGCCACAGCAAGGCTGACTTGTCACGCCCTCCCAGAGCAAGAATGCTCCTGGGCTCCAGGGGCGTGAGGTCCCTGCCGTCCTGGTGGCCCCCAAGGCCTGGTGCACGCTGGGGACAGGGCGCCGAGGGGGCCCTCACTGGGATGGCCCAGGGGCGGGCTGGGAGCTCTCAAGGGGCCTCCCGGCTCGAGTGTGTGGGGGTCCCGGGGTCCTCTGCTGGCCTGGGCGCCCAGACCTGGCACGCACACCGCCCCCACCGCAGGGCCCCGCTCCGCACACGTGGCATGTGCAGCCTCAGACAGGGACCGAGCAGCATCGCTCCGTCCGGGGCCCGATGCCCTGCTCTAGCAGGTACGGTCTGTGCCACTCGCCCGCCTGGCGCTGGGGTCTGGAGGGAGGTGTGTCTTCAGGGGGTTCCCAGGGCTGAGCCCCACCCCGCGCCGTGGCAGGAAGACAGAGACCTCTGGTTCTCTCCCTCACCCTGAGGGCCTGGGGCCTGGGGCGGCGGAGGGTGGCTTAGTCTCCCAGAGCTCGTCCTGCCTGCAGGCCAGGGCATGAGGGGAAGGACCGAGCCGCAGGGGTCCGGGACCAGATCAGGGCCTGCCAGCTGGGTGCGCCGGCCTCCTCGGTGCAACACACCCAAGGCTGCCCATGTTTGCAACGACTTCGGGCAAACAGGCCTCAAACCCAGGGCCTGTCCCCGCCGAGGACTGCTTTCCTGTCGGGACAGTGGCGGGGACACAGGAGGTGGGGACACGGCACCCCTGGCTGTGCCACGTGGTGGCCCATGGCAGGTCCCCAGCCCCCGCCCCGAAGGTGGTGGCCAGGGCCTCGAGGCCGGGTGAGCCCAGGAACACAGCAGGCAGGGCCGCCGTCCCCCGGTCTATGAAGTGGCTGGACCCTGCTCAGGCTTCTGCCTCCCTTGTGGGTTCTTCAGGCCTGGGGAGCCCTGTGGACCGGCTGGCTGCCCTGCTCCCGAGAGGCCCCCAGGCCCATGAGTGTCTGGTGCTGGTGGCCCCGCCTGGGGCTGGCCTGGGAGGCTGGAGGGATGCGGCTTGGGTGCGGCCTCTAGTCCCGCTGGCGTTTCCTGTCCTGAGCCCGGCCTGGGCAGGGGGGGCCGCTAGGCTGTCCAGTGGGTGCTGCACCAGGTGGAGCACAGCGGCCTCTCTGGCCTCCTGGCCAGAGCCGCCCTGACCGTGAGGGCTGCCCGCAGGGGCCCTGGGCCTGGCATAGGGTTTTCCTCTGGAAGGAGCCAGGCCTGGGAGGCCCGGAACCCATGTCCACCCTCTGCTTCCCCTCAGTGGTCACTGCCCTGTGCCCACCTCCGCTGTCCGGCAGGAGGGCCTCGGTGCTGCATCCTGCGCGGCTGGGAGCTTGGATAGGAGGAAGGTTCCGGAGAGGGTGCCGCCCGCCCCCACTCTGGCCAGGCCAGCCCGGGTCTCGGCATGGCACAGGCGGCCACCCTCCCAGGGTGGACATCCCCTTCCTGCCTCTGCAGCGCCTCCCGCCCGCCCTCTGGCAGCCGCTGCCTTTGTCCTCTGAGGGCTCCATAAAATGGCCGCCGCAGCCCTCCGCCATTTTGTGACTGAGGCTGCCGGCGGCCTTGGGGGAGGGAGACCGCCGGCCGGCCCCGGGGGCCTGGACGGAGCGCAGTGCCAGCCCCGCCCCCGCCCGGCCCTGGCTGCCCCAGGCTTGGCAGCAGTCGACGCCTTGGCAAGGTGGTCCAGGCACCCCGGCGGTCACCCGGCCCTGCCCGGCCCCCCTCGCCGTCCCAGGCCTCCCTCCAAGCAGGCGGAGATGCCGCGGCTGAGCTCTCAGAGGCCGTAATTAAAGCCACGCTCTGGAGGGGCCTTCGCAGGCATGGCGGCCGGTGTGGAATAGTCTAGAAATAGAGCTTGCCCAAGGGAGGGCTCCTGGGCACTCCAAGGACTGGGCTGGGCCGGGGAGGGCAGCAGCACCCCCGTCCCCCTCGCCCCACCTGCCTGAGGAACCGTGGACCTTGGGTCTGGACGCAGCAGCAGCCAGGGGCTTCCCGGAGGAGGTGAGCTGTGTGCAGAGCGGGCGCTGCGCCCGCCAGCCTTCCCTAGGGCCTGGGCCAGCTGAGGGGCTGCCCTGTGAGGTCCTCGCACCCGGCCCCCAAGGGCGCCTTCCAGACGGAGCCCCTCCTGGGCGCTCATACCCCGAGTGGCGGCAGTCCCAGGAAGGAGTGGTCGTGCCGGGCAGGACGGCCGTCTCCAGGGCCATCTCCCAGCTGGCCACCGCGTGTGCTGTGCCGAGCTCCAGGGTTGGTGGGAGCTGCCGGCAGCCTGGCGTCCGAGCTGTGCCCGCCAGCAGCAGGCCCCTCCGGGGAGCAGGCCCCAGGAGCCACCGCCCAGGCTGTGCCAATGGCAGCCGAGGAAAGGGCGGTGTTGCAAAGGGGTTGAGGCCATTTCTCGGGCCGCCGAGGGTGGGGACATGCTGCCCCGTGTGGCCAAGGGCGGCCTGCTTGGGACACCCGGGCCCAGCCAAGCCCCCCAGGCTGCACGAGGAGGCCCCCGCCCTTCCCAGACACCCTCTCTTTGCGGTTCCCGAAAACATTCCAGAGCTGTGGAGTGAGGCTTGCACAGGCCCTGCCTTCCCTCTGGGGAAACCCAGCAGTGGACAGGACGGTGGGGCTCTCCGCCAGGGCGGTGTCCACGCTCCCGGCCAGCCAGCAGGGAGCACAGGCCCCGGGGCAGGAGCCCCCAGCAGGGCTGCTCCAGGCGGGGCGTTCTCAGTGTGGGCTGCATCTGCTCCACCCCGGCCTCGCAACCCAGACCGTCGGCTGAGAATATTTTCAAACATGCGCCTCTGAGGCCAGTGTCTGGTGGCCTGGTGCAGAGGACACCTGGGGCGTCAGGCAGCTCAGCCCCGCCGGAGCGGCGCAGCCCACCACCCACGGCCCTCCAGGCACGCCCCTCACGGCAGCGCTCGGGCTGGCTTCTGGCCCCGACAGCAGGAGGCAGAGGCTGGGGGCGCTGGCCACGCGCTGGTTGGCCCACGCAGGGTGCTGGGCCCCCAAGCCAGGTGTCCCCCACTGCTGCGGGTGTGTCTGCAGAGCGGGGCCAGATCCCTGGTGCTCCCCAGCCAGTGCCAGGCCCCCCACTTCTCCTGGCAGCCTGAGAACAGGACCCCACCCTGAGCCTGTGTGCCTCTGGCCGCTGGCCGGGGGGATAAGGCAGGACAGCCCCGCGCCTGGGGGCAGCGGCCGGGGCTGGGTGGGGTCCTGTCTGGGGTCTGCGGCCAGCTACGCCGGAACCCGAGACGGGAGGACGCAGTGACCCGCCCGCCCTGACCCGACCCGTCGCCGATCCACATCGTGGACCTTCCACGTTCATTTTTATTTTCAAAGACTTGCATGGAACGGCCAGTCCTGACGGCAGGCTCGTCGAGTGGCCTCAGCGTGCGCCGGGGCTGCCAGGCGTGCAGTGGGCCCGTGGCCGGCCCACGGCGTCATCGGCTTTGTGGGCCTCGTTGCAGGGACACCCCAGCCCCGGGGCCACCCCCGCCTTTTCCCAGACTCACCGTTGGCACGGCCTGCCGAGCAGAAACACTGGCTGCTTTATGGGGAGAAACCTAATCGGGGCGGGGGGCAGGCGTGGGGGTGCCAGTTCCCCGTGGCCCGGAGCCAAGCCCGAGGTGACCGTGGGGTGACACCACCTGTCTGCCTCGCTCGCTCCAGACATCCGCCCAGCCTGCGAGGGCACCTGCCCACGAGCCTCCGCGCACCTGTCCCCGCCTGGCTCCTCCCGGCCCTGCCCAGGGAGCCTGCACCCCGCGGCCTCCGCCCCAGGCTGCCCCGCCCCCCGGCTAGGAAGCGCCTCCAGGTCCATCTCAGGACCCTGCCCTGCGCCCGGAGAGGGGGGGGCTCGGAGGCCACAGCCACTCTCTGGGGTGTTGGCAGAGGCCCTGGCGAACCGGGCCCATGGCCCGCGGGTCGGGGTCCTTCCCCAGACTTCAGACCCAGAAACGTCGGTTCTGTCTCCCCGCACCCCACAGGCTCGGGCTGAAGGACGAGTCAGCGTCTGGGGGCGGCCCAGACTGGGGAGCCTGCGGGGCATAGTCCCGCTGCCCGGTCCCCAGGGACCCCCAGCCTCTGTGCGCCGGGAGGGCGTCGCGGTCCGTGAGCGCCCCCTGCTGCGGGCCTGCCGGGGCGCGCCGGGAGCCTGTTCTGGACTCACCCGGTCCCGAGGCCTCCCGGGGAGCAGCTGGAGAGATGGTGGGCAGAGCCCGAGGGGCAGGGCGACCGCGGAGCCGAGGGCCGCCGGCCACGGACACCCGGGCTCTGGGCGCGGCAGGACCCTCCACAGGAGCCTGACACCCCGGCCCTGCTGGCGGGCAGGGACACCCGGCGTGGAGGGGCTCCTGGCTCGGGCGCCTCTGCACACCCCCACCCTCCGCCTGCGCCCCGGGGGGAGGGAGCCAGGCAGGATGGCACGTTCTGCTCTCAGGCCCAGAGGGGGCCCGGCCTTGCCCGGGCAGTGCCCCCACCTGAAGCCACCTCACCCCTGGTCTTCCCACCACCCTCCAGCCACCCCCAGCTGACCCTCCTCGTCTGCCCTCCTGTAACCTCCAGCCCTGTTGGTCCCTGCAGGTCCCCCTGGCCGCCCCGTCTGGTGGGCGTGGCGCGTCGGGCAGTGACCGGATGGAAGAGGAGCTCCCAGCTGCCCCTGCCGCACCGTGAGGACCCCGTCCGGGGGGCCCAGCAGGTGCCCCGCCCAGGCTCGCCGTGCGGGGCTGGGTCCCCGAGGGTGCCTCCTCCTCCCCGCCTGGCTGTGAGGCGCCTGTGAGCACCGCGCCCCACGCCCTGGCCGCTGCCACGTCGGCAAGTCCGAGCTGGACAAGCAGAGACCAGATAAGGGAAACCAAGTCACACCTGCACCCCCAGGCTGGGTCCTGCTGGTGCCCCCAGCCCCACAGCTCGGAGTCGCTCTCAGATATTCGGGGCCCAGACTTTCATGGAGGCTGAGGGTTCTGAGGCTTGCCCTGTACCCCTGGGGTACACCTCCCGACTGGGGTTCCATGACTCGTTGTCACAGCGGTCCTGCAGGAGACACCCCTCGCTGCAGAGGCAGGGCCCAGTCTGGAGGGCCCGGGGGTGAGACCCCCCCGAGCCGGGCGCGGGCCTCTGCACCTGCGTGTCCCTGTGAGCTGGCGGCAGCCTGGCTTTCGGGGTGGGGGGACTGCCCGTCCGCTGTAGCCTGCGAAGCCCATGCTCCCCTGGGACCCCAGGAGGTGGGGCTGACCGTGCCCTCCAGCCTGAGCAGGAGCCCCCAGGGGGCATCCCTGGGTCCCTCCAGAGTCTCCAGTCTGCCGCCCCCCAAACCAGCCTCCCATCTTGAAGGAAAGAGCAGCATCTGGACTTGGGGGCAGGGAGGGTCAGCGGGGCGGCAGGACCGCCTCGAGCCCAAGGGGGGTGCCCGCCGGCTCCGGCCTCAGCACCCCAGCAGGTGAAGGGAGTGGCCGCTGGCCATGGCGGGGCCCAGGAGGCTGTGCTGTCAGAGGAGGCTGTCCAGGGGACACTCCCCCAGCCCTTAGCCTGTGCTGGCCTCCCACAAGGCAGCCTCGCGGGGCTCCTGGGCTGAAGGCCCCAGGGGGCGTCACGGCCACTCCTGTCCAGGCGGGAACCCCCAGTTTCCCAAGCCCCTCCCCCTCGGCCCCCGCCTTGGCTGCCCTCGCTCTCCTCCCGCCTCCTGGTGCTTTTCTCCTGCAGGGTCCCCCAGGACGCCAGGCCGGCGGCCGCTCCTAGAGCACCGGAGCTCCTGCGCCGCCTCCCGCAGACGCCTCGGAAGCCGAAAGCCCCCGCGGCGCCCCGCCACGCCCTTTGGGGTGAGGTAGTAGGTTGTATAGTTTGGGGCCCTGCCCTGCTCTGGGTAACTATACAATCTACTGTCTTTCCTGAAGTGGCCGTAATGTCGACGGTGGACGCGTCCCGGACCCGCTGGGCAGGGGGCGGGGGCGGGGGCGGCCGCGCGGGGCGGGCAGGGACGCCCTGAACGCCGGGCACGCCGCTGGGAGGCGGAGCAGGTCCCGCGACCTCTGGCTCCGTCTCCTCTGCAAAGCGCGGGTGGAGGAGGATGGAAGGCGAGGCCGCGCGCGGGGTCCGGGCAGACCCTGCCTTCGTGTGCCACCCCCACCCGCCAGGCCCACGGGCAGCCTGGGTCCGGCCGTGCCCTCGGCTGCCTCCCTGCGCTGGGCGTGAGGACAGGCGGCGACTTGGCTGGGCAACACGGCAGCGCCCAGGGAGACCCCCGGGCCAGCCCCAGAGTGTCCCGTGTGCGTCCTGCTGGCGGTCAGGCCGCTGGGCGGCAGAGCACCCGCCGCCCGGGCAGGGGGAGGTGGGCTCACCCTCCCCAGCGGGAAGCAGGCCTGCGACCACCGTGGGCCCTCCCGGTCTTCCAGCACCCTCGGGTAGCTGACGGGAAACCGAGGCAGCGCCTACACTTCCTCCTGCCCTGCGCCTGCCCAGCCCTGCGCGCGGGTGCCCTGGCCCTCGTGGGCTGGGCAGGGCGTGGGGCAGCAGCGGCGGGGCCTCCCGCACCCGGGCGCCGCGGGGTGAGGTAGTAGGTTGTGTGGTTTCAGGGCAGTGATGTCGCCCCGTCGGAAGATAACTATACAACCTACTGCCTTCCCCGAGGGGCCCAGCGACGCCTGGGAGGCCCCCGCCTGACGCAGCAGGGCCCACAGGGCCACGGGCACCGAGTCCAATAAAGGCTGTTCTGGCGTGAGCCCTCGTCCATTCTGGAGGCCAGGCCCGGGCGACGGGGCCGCCGTGTGCGTGGGGCCTGCCCGGGCCACCAGCTCGCCCCTCAGTGCCCCGGCCTGTCCATCCCACTCCCCGGGCCACGGCGCCTGCCGCTGCATCTGGCACAATGGTGACCTTGAACCTGAGGAGTCGGTTCAGCCTTTCTCCAGTCCTGGCTCCTCCACCGTGCCAGGACCGGAGTTGGAGCCAGGCTCTGCCTGGGGCCAGGGGGACCACAGCGTGGTGGGGAACAGCCAGGGACACAGCGTGGCCAGCACCAGGCCAGAAGAGCCCCAGGACTCCTGGACCCACCTTGCAGTCAGGGGTGGCTTCCTGGAGGAGGTGACCCTGGGATCTCTGCGTCACGCCCTCCCAGCTGGTCACCTTCCATCCTCTGTCAACTGGTGGTGCCTGGAGCCACGGGAGGGGCGAGGGTGGGCCCGAGGGCCTGGCTTCAGCATCGTGCGGAAGCAGTTCAGTCCAGAAACAACCCGGCAGGCGCCAGTCTGGTCAAAGCAGCTGGTGTGCTCCTGCCCCTAAGCCGCCTCTGGGAGGTGCTGTGGGTCGGGAAAGGGCTGGCTTCGGGGCAGCAGGCCTGGGGCAGTCGCTCCACTGGCCAGGCCTTAGCTTCCCATCCCGTGATGGAGGCAGCCGCTCAGACCTGGGTGGGCCGCAAGTGGGGATGGGACCCCAAACAGCGCGGGAGCCGGCAGGCAGGCAGGCAGGCAGGCGGCGGCCCCGGCTCTGAGGCCCTGGGTGACTGCCGCCACCTGCTGCCGGATCCGGGGAGCGCATCCGGGTGAGGCGCCCCGCAGGAGGGGGGCACTGGGCTCTGCAGGAGGGAGGTCCCAGCACTAGGCCCCACCCCGGCCGTGACCCTCCCCACCCCCTGCCCCAGGCAGCCAGGGAGCTGGGGAGCTGGACCGGAGAGGCGGCCCAAGTGCCGGCCTGTGGGCCTTCCAGCAGGCCCGGCTCTGTCCCCCTCCTGCCAGGCCCTGCTCCCGCCGGGAGGTGACTTGTCAGACTCGAGGGGCTCCTGGGCACCAAGATGGGCCTGGGCTCCCAAGGAGCCCGTCTCCCCTCGGGCCGCGAGAGGAGCCGGAGCTCAGCCAGGGCCACGCGGCACGGGAACGGGTCACCCAGGGCCCCAGCGGGTGGCCGAGGCCGGGAGCCCGGGCCCTCGGGGTGTGCGCAGGCCCCCGGCACTCGGGCCCTCTCAAGACCCAGGGGACGCCGTGGCGCCGCGGCTCTGGGTCTGCACGGCAGCGCGAGTCCTGTGCGGCCGCGGCCCTGGACGGGTGGGCCGGCCCCGAGCGGGGCTGCACCGCGGGCGTCACCCGGCGCGAAACGCGCGTCTGCTGCACGGAGGGAGAGCCGGGGAGGCGGCGCCCGGGGTGGGCCTGGGCCCCACAGGCTCGCTCGCCCCTCACGCCGGCCCGGGGCCCCAAGGTGGCGGCCTGTCCCTGGGTGCCCGGACCCCAGCCCCACCTTCCAAACCCGGGCCGGGCCTGCCCCTGCGCTGCGCAGGCGAGGTGGGGAGGAGGCCCCCCACACCCCGCCCGCACACCGCGGCCCGTGTGGGGTGCGCGCTCGGCTACACCTGGTCAGGGGTGCGGAGGAGAGGACGCCGTGAGAAAGGGGGAGGCCTGGATGGAGGGGCGAGGGGGAGGCGTCAGAGGAGGGGAGCACTTGGGGGTGAGGGAGGAGTGAGCCAGCCAGCGGGGGTGCGTTCCCAGGAGCACCCAGGGTCAGTCCCAGCGGCGCCATCGGGGGGGTGCGGGGGGACAGGCTGATCCGGGGCTGACCCTGGCCCGCGGCGGCCAGGGGGGTTGGTGAGGAGCTGGCAGAGCACCCCCTGCTCAGAGCAGGGTAGGGGAGCAGGCCGGGGGTCACGGTACCCCCTGGGCGGATGCCGGAGGGAAAGGCGCCGGCCACTGCTGAGGGGGCCCGGCCAGTGCTGGGCCTGCCCCGTGCCAACGCCCCCAGCTTGGGGCTCTCGCAGGGCACTGCCTGGCCTGGGGGCCTGGGACGCCCGTGCTGCCCCCCTCGCAGGAGCCCCGCGCCGCCCCTCGCACCTACACCCGCGCCGGTGGGCAGCGCCAGGACCCTTCCTCCCGAGCGCCACCCAACAACCTGCCCCACCCCCCGGCAGCTGGAGAGCAGGGGGCCCCGGCCCAGCTTGGTGAACCCTGAGTTCTGAGGTCCTCGTGGTGTGGGGGGACAAGAGCTGGTCTCCTGCCCAGGTGGACAGTTAGGGCTCCAGGGCCCCCACAGACACGACCCTCCTCCATCCTGCTGAGCACCCCGAACCCCTGGGGGGTCTGCCAGCTCTGTCCCCCTCTGCTTCCTGCTGCCCCTGCACCCGCAGCCCCAGGGCCGGGCACCTCCGGGACGGCGTCCATGGCTCCGGCCCTGGCCACGGGGCTGGGCCCAGCGAGCAGCCTCGGGACCTGCAGGACCTGCTCTGGCGCCCAGCCCAGGCCTGGCCCGGCTCCTCGTAGACAAGCCCCCCCAGAGTCCTTCTGAGGGACCCAGGCGGACCCTCAGCCAGGCCAGGCCTGAGCAGGGGGTGCAGGGGCCCAGCTGTGACGGAAGTGCCTGCAGGGCTGGGTGGGGATCCCCCCCAGCTCCCCCAGCCCCCCAGGGCTCAGCACAGCCCGGGGGGCCGGGCCTGTGTCGGGAGCCCGGCGGCCGCATCCGGTCCAGGCCTGCCTGCTGGGGGCCCGGGGCTCTCCTGGCTCCGTTGCGGGCCTCAGTCTCCCTGGTGCACAAGCGGGAGCCCCCGAACTTGAGGGTCCCGGACCCCCCTCCGCGCTCTGCCCGCTCCGGCCCGCGGGCGCGTCCGCGGCGAGGCTCGGCCTGGCCGCCAGGGGGCGCGCGCCGCCCGCCGCCGGGGTGTGAGCGCGAGTGGGGGGGGCCGGAGGGGGCCGCGCGGGCGCCCCAGGTCCCCAGGCCGAGCAGCGCCCCGCGAGAGGCCGGGCTGGGGGGCGCGGGGCAGGCCCAGCACCGGCCAGGCCCCTCCGCAGCCGCCGGCGCCTTCCCCGGGTCCGCCCTGGGGGCTGCCGCCCGGCGTGGGGCGGGTCGGGACACGCGCGACCTCCCGCCTTCCGGCCCCCCCCCCCCCCCCCCCCCCCGCTCTGAGGGAAGCTGGGGCGCTGGACAGGACCCCCCCGCCGGGCAGGCTCCCTGTCTCCATCCTCACTCCCCTGTGGCTTGTCGACCTCGCGGGAGCCCCAGTTTCTCCATCCGGGGCGGAAGCTGCCTCGCCCCCTCTTGGGCCCCCAGGGCTGGGGTCACTTCTGGGGGCTGCAGAGCACGGGGGGCCCAGGGCCGGGCCGGCAGGGCCGAGCGGACAAGGCCCAGGACTAAAGCCGGGGTCACTTGTCCCCTCCTGCGGGGGGGCAGGGCCTGGAAGGGTTCCTGCAGCCGCGCCCGCCAGAGGCCAGTGTGCGTGGGGGTCACACAGAGGCGCCCCCCACACACACACAGGGACTCCCTGCCCCTCCCCGCTCTCTAGTCGCCCCACTCTTGCACCCCGACACCCCCAGGTCCTGGCACCTCAGCACTGTGCGCCACTGGGGCGGGGGGCGGTGGCCTCGACCCCAGGCTGCCCTGGAGGGGTAGGACGCTCCCTCTTTGCCTCCGGGGTGGGCTTGGGGTCAGCCCTGGCGTCACCCCTGCGCGCCTCCAGCCAGCAGAGGGCAGGGTCGGCCTCGCCACGTCCCCGGGAGGAGGGTCCGCACTGCCGGCGGGAGCGGGGAGCTCCCGGAAGCTCTCGGGCAGGTAAGTCCTGCCCCGGGTTTTGCAGGAACCTGGTATCCGCTGGATGGCGCCCCCGGGCCGAGGGGCAGTGTGGCCCCCACCTCCCGCCCCTCCGTGCTGGGTGCTGTCTGGGGAGGGGTCGGGCCGTCGGCGACCAGCCGGAGCCCAGGAGGAGCCAGCAAGATGGTCGACCTTGACCTCAGATCCGCGGGCAGAGGCCCGGCGTCCGCCTGCGCCTCCCCACCGTGGCCCTGAGCGCCCGCCCAGCACCCACCTGCCCTGGGTGGCACCTGCGATCACACAGGCCCCGTGCCGGCCCCACCCCGGCCAGGGTCTCAGGCGGCCCCACCCGGCTGCACAGACACGAAGGCCGTGCCTCATGGGTTCAGACGGGTCAGGGCCGCCGCCCCAGGGGA